GGTATCTAAAAGGGTGTCATAAGGAGGAGAGAGAAAACTTGTTCACCTTAGCCTCTAAAGATAGAACAAGAAGCAATGGGCTTAAACTGCAGCAAGGGAGGTTTAGGTTGGGCATTAGGAAAAGGTTCCTAAATGTCAGGGTGGTTAAACACTGGAATAAATTGCCTAGGGAGATTGTGAAATCTCCATTGGTGGAGCTTTTTGAGAGCAGGTTAGACAAACACCTGTCAGGTATGGTCTAGATAATAATTAGTCCTGCCGTGAGTGCAGGGGATTGGATTAGACGCCATCTCGAGGTCCCTTACAGTCCTATGATTCTGATTCTGTGGAGAGTCACAGACCTGGAGGCTGACCTGTGACCCAAGAGCTGACATGTGACCCTTGCTGTTTGTGGGCTCAGTTGTAGTGTTGAGATAATATTGGATAGGGTAGAAAATAGGGTCCGGCTGTTGTGAAATCTAGGGTAGCTCCTGTAATGTCTGTTCTTTTGTACTGGGGCCAGTATGGATTTCTAGTGATTGATATGGCGCCCCAGAGATTGGAATAAGGTTAAGTCTTGGATGTTGCTGGGTGGACCTCTTGAGCTGGCAGGCCTCTTAGCAGCCAACCATCCAAGTTTGGGAATACTGAGCTCCACCACTGTCAGATGCAAGCTGATATCTCTGGGAAAATCTTTGTAAATAACCTTGGGGCAGTGGAGAGTCCAAAAAGGAAAATTTGATATTGATAGTGATCTGTTTCTGTTACAAATATAGGAGACAGTTGTGAGCAGGTGGATCGCTACTTGAAAGTATCCTGAAGGTTGACATCAACTAAACATCTTCCTGGATCTCAGGAAGGGATTATGGAATAGTGTCACTATTCTGAGATGTGTGCTAGAACATAGTTGTTCAAGTTCCTTAGATCAAGGATTGGTCTCTATCTGCTAGCTCTCTTGGTATCTAGAAAGCAATTGGAAAAGAAGCATCTTCTGACAAATTCTAGTGGAACTGGCTTCACTGCCCCCAGGGGGAGGAGAGATTTAATTTATTATTCTAGGAGTTCCTTCTGAGAAGTCCTTGAAGAGGGTGGAGGGGAGGGATAGGATGGAAGTGGATAACCTCCAATATCCACTTGTCTGAAGTAGGATGTTCCCAGGCAAGCAAAAAGTAAGACAGTCAGTTTCCAAAGGGGCTATAGTTGCACAACAGAGGATCCAGTGGAATAGGTTGGTTGATTCCCTCAACCGAGATGTCAAAACCGCCTCTTAGAAGGATGGGCAGATTAAGAAGTACGGGTGGAAGATCCCTGTCTCTGCAGTTTGACTCTTTTCTGGAAGGTCTCCTGAGGTGTGCAGAAAGTGTGCTGGTGGTACTAGAATGGTCTGGATCTGAGTGGTTTGGGATCTACTAAAGCGTCTTTTCGTTGCAGCACGTAAATCAGAATGCTGTGTCCTGATGCCGCAGGCTGTTGAGAAGAAACTGAGCAACAACGAGTTTTCGCTTCCTTAAATGCCCTTGCTCAAAGCACAAGATACTGCTCTGTGCAGGCAAAGGCTTGCAGTCACTACTGTGCAGTCTCTGAGAGTGCATGGGCATGTGCACATCCTATGGTGGAGAACCCATACGATCATATACTCGAACTATGAATTTTCAAAATATTGGCCTTTATGCCTCAGCTTCCTCAACTACAAGATTGGGATAATACTTCCTTATCTTACATGGGGTTGCTTTCAGAGGGACCTGTGAATGCTCAGTACCTCTGATAATAAAGCCACTTATTTAGGTTCCTAAATAGAAACTAAGGTGACCAACTTTAGACACCCAAATGTCAACATTCTGGCCAGAGGTTTTGGCAAATAGAACATGGGTCTCCTGACTTCCAGTCCTCTTCTGTAATCACAAAACCATCATTTAAGAGCTAACTAGCTGAAAATCTTTTGATATACAGCAATGATAAATGGGACCACAAAAATAGTCTCATCGTTACAAACAGGACTTTCAGTTTAAAATGACTGAAAACCAGTTGCTAGAATAGAATCCATAATTTTGTCAAGAACCAGTATAAAAAACAAACACTGGGAAAAACGGATGTCTTTTGTTTTTTTGTAACAGACATTTAGACCATCACAGACTATGGGACCCCAATGAATTTGCTGTCTCCTGCTTCAAAATCATCATGTATTCTATACAGGTAGGTTTGATCTAGTCCAGTGATTACCTGTATGTACCATAAGAACAAAGCTGACTAAATGAATTATATGCTCGCTTACTCATAATTAAGGCTGTTTTAGTCACGGGTATTTTTAGTAAAAGTCATGGATAGGTCACAGGCTGTGAATTTTTGTTTACTGCCCATGATCTGTCCATGACTTTTACTAAAAATACCCATGAGTAAATCTTGGGCGCGGGGCCACAGGTGCTCTGGGTGGGGCGATCCGGGGGCATTGAGGGAGGTGTCCCAGGACCCCACTGGTGGGGGGGGGCGGGGAGGAGGCAGTGCGGCCTGGGACCTCACTGGTAGTGGTGGAGAGTGGCCAGGCAGCATGGCCTGGGACCCCCGCTGGTGCTGAGGCGGAAGTGTTAGCAGGGCTGGCAGGGGCTCCCTACCCGGCTCCGCGTCCCTGCAGCAATTAGGTGGTGGAGGGGTCAGAGGGCTCGGCGCTCTGCTCCTGCCACAAGCGCCGGCTGCCACAGCTCCCATTGTCCGGGAACCGCAGCCAATGGGAGCTGCGGGGGCGGTACCCACGGGTAGTGTGCGGCATGTAGCCCCGTCCCTCCACTGCCTAGGAGCTGCAGGGCCATACCAGTGGAAGCCGGGGAGCCCCCCATCCCGAGGTAAGTGCCCCCCCCCGCATTCCCCACAAACCCCTAGCCCTGAACCCCCTCCCACACACCCAAACTGCTGCTTCTGGCCCGGTGCTGCCAGAGCCATGTAGCCACTGAGCCAGCACCAGCCGCTGCAGAAGTCACGGAGGTCACGGAAAGTCATGGAATCCGTGATCTCCGTGGCAGACTCACAGCCTTACTCACAATGGTCGATCTCTATTTGGTGGTAGATGAAGGCAAAGAATATACAGTGTCCCTGCCATTTATGTGCCTTATAAGAAAATTCGATCTCATCCTCCAGTAGTTGTCAAACAGTTTAACCCTGTAACGGTGACTAAGAATCACAGTTGTTGAGTATCTAATCCCATATGTTGTCAGATTTTTAGGTGTGAGGAAGGAGGAAGAATAAAACTGACTTTCAGGTCATAACCAGCACACACATCCAAAAGGCAAAGAATTGTCACTTTATTAACTCAAACTATTGATCCAAGTGATACAAGTAATATTTGCCATTCCATCAGTGTACCACTTAAATAAGGCTGCACTCATTGTGAGAAATTGAGAGATGGGGGGTGTCACGGAGTATGGGGGACTCAGGGCCCTGCACCCCCGGCTTCCTGCGATTCACCATGACTCTCAGCCAGCCAGTAAAGCAGAAGGTTTATTTAGACGACAGGAATACAGTCCAAGACAGGTCTTGCAGGCACAGACAACAGGACCCCCCTCAGGTCCATCTTGGGGTCCCAGGGCGCCCCAGCCCCCTTGGGAGGTCAGAGCCCTGTCTGCCCCCCAGCCATATCACCAGCCAGCTCCTGAAAACTCTCCCTTCAGCGACCCCTCCCACAGCCTTTGTTCAGTTTCCCCGGGCAAAGGTGTCACCTGGCCTCTAACCCCTTCCTGGGTTCTCACGTTACATGCTCAGGTATTTTCCCTTGGCCAGTCTCCCATTCCCCAACACAGACCATCCTAGCCACACTCCCCTGTCAGCATTTAAAGACCAGAGTAAGAACAGTCCCAGTTAGTCACAGGGGGTACTAATGGAAAATGGTCCTGGCATCCTTTATCCACCTTTAGTCAAGCTCTTTATTGACTGGAATGTAGAAATGTATAATTGTGCCCAAAAGCAGTGCTAAAGAGAAGAGGAACACCACTCAAGATTATTAGTCTGAGTTCAGGGCTGAATATTTGTGTGTGGAGATAGCTTTAATTAGAAAGGAAAGTAACAAACCATTTTTTTTCTTTTATAGGCACAATACTCCCATCATGTAATACAGGAGACTCTTGGACACCTTGATGCTCGCAAAAGGGATTCGCCACGAGTCCGAGCAGGCATTATTCAGGTTCTTTTGGAAGCAGTTGCCATTGCTGCTAAAGGATCCATAGGTGAGTCATGGTAAATTAATTTTATGAAACCAATGAACCATTTCAGTGAATTTCAGAATGAATAAAAACTTAAACTGTTGGCTTTTTTAGCTTTTCTTTCAAATCCATAATTAAATCAGATTTTCCATTCTCTCTTTGGTGTAGGTGGAACTTGACCTAAATTTTGTTCAGCACTTAGAGCTTGTTCCAGAGCGCTGGTCCTATAACTGCAAGTGTGGCCTACCATGGCGGTTAGAGGGCCTCAGCCCTTTACAAGCAGGAATTCTAGGGGATGTAGACTTGAGTAATTATGTGAGAGAGACAAGGGCTGTTGCTTAGTCAGAGAGAAACCAAGGTCTAAGAGTCTCCACAATGACCGGCAGAAGGAAAACTTCTAAGTGAAGAGCAGTGGCCAAAGGGTCCAGAGTGGGACTGGCAGAGCTCCTTCCACAGAAGGAGCTGGGGCAGGACCCTGGTAGCAGAACAATTGAGAGTCCTTGGTAAGGAAATTCTGTGAAGCCCTGGTAGATTGGTAATTGTGAAATTGTTTCACAACTCTGAGGAAGAACCAAAAGGGACCTGAGGAGCCCAGGAACAATGCTGAATTTTATGTTTAATAAATGAAACCCTAGCGGAGAGACTTTGTGATGAAATTCAATATTCTGTTTCTGATTTTGTCTAGCCCTAAATAGGAGGAGAAATTGAGACACAGCAGTGTACCCACTTGGGGAGGTGCCTCTTATGGCACCAAATATATGTATCAGTACTGATCCTTAGAACATGAGAGTGGCCATATTGGGTCAGACCAATGGTCCATCTAGCCTAGTATTCTGTCCAACAGTGACCAGTGCCAGATGCTTCAGAGGGAATGAGCAGAACAGGGCAATCATCAAGTAATCCATCCCCTTGTTCAGTCCCAGCTTCTGGCAGTTGGAGACTTAAGTACATCTGGAGCATTGTGTTGCCTCCCAAACCATCTTGGCTAATAGCCATTGATGTACCCATTATCCTTGAATTTATCCAGGGTTTTTTTTGTTTTGTTTTGTTTTAACCCAGTTATATTTTTTGACCTTCATAGCATCCCACGGAAATGAGTCCCACAAGTTGACTGTGTTGTATGGAGGGTACTTCCTTAGGTTTGTTTTTAAACCTACTGCCTATTAATTAGGGGGAGTGACTCATGGTTCTTACGTTTTATGTGAAGGGGTAAATAACACTACTTTATTTACTTTTTTCCACACAATTCTTGATTTTATGGACCTCTATCATATCCCATCCCCTTAGTCGTCTCTTTTCTAAGATGAACATTTTAATTTCTCATCGTATGGAAGCTGTTCCATGCCCCTAACCATTTTTTGCCTTCTTCTACCTTATCTAATACTCGTGTATCTTTTTAGAGATGAGGCAATCAGATCTGCACGCAGAAGTCAAGATGCGGGCATACCATGGATTTATATAATGGCATTCTGATATCTTCTGTCTGATTATCTATCTCTTTCCTAGTAGTTTCTAGCATTCTGTTTGCTTTTTTGACTGCCGCTGCACATTGAGCAGATGTTTTGGGGGAACTATCCACAATGACTTCAAGATCTTTCTTGAGTGGTAACAACTAATTTAAACTCCATCATTTTGTATATATAGTTGGGATTACTTTTTCTGTTGTGCATTACTTTGCGCTTATCAACATTGAATTTCATCTGCCATTTGGTTGCCCAGTCACCTGGGTTTTTTAAAATCCCTTTGTAACTGTTAACAGTCAGCTTTGAACTTAACTATCTGAAATTTTGCCACCTCTCTGCACACCCCATTTTCCAGATCATTTATGAATATGTTGAACAGCACAGGTTCCACTACAGATCCGTCGGATAATCTCTCCATTGTGATAATCCTTCATAATTATAAAATCAATGTTAGGCTCCAACCACCAGTGAATGCATTATGGTTATGTGATTCAGTGTGGCTTTTCATTTTGTCACGTGTCTCATTAGTAATTGACATTCTATTAGCCTTAATGAAAGGTATCTGAAAAAGCCTACTCGTCAGCTTTCCTATAGGCTGCTACTGACCCAGCAATGTACTTTGGGTTGGTGGCTTAATTCTGTTATGCTCTGAATGCATGGAAAGTGGTGTTCCAAAATGCACTGTACTCTTCGGAATCTGAAAACACACACAGTTAGTTATATTGATGGTTTCCAGATACATTTGCCAGTGAAAATATATTTAGAATTTCATAAATGGGCACGTCATACAACTGATCATTTTAAATTGTTTTTAATTTGAAAAATTGGGAGTTAAATACACTCTTAATTTCCTAAATGGGGAAATTTATTTAACTTAGTTGTGAGGCTTGTGTATAATGGAACTTTTAAATTATTTGGAAGACATATCCGTCTCCCTCTCCCATTTTCATGCTTTCCTCAATGCTATTCCTATGCAGCCTTTGTGATCTTGTGTACCATTTAACTCTCTCACGTCTAGCAATAACCCTTGAAATACACAATTTCATTATGTATAACAATAATTGTTAATGTTTATAAAATCTGAGGAACCAACAAGAAACTGAAGCCAATCAAATCACTTACTCTGTGGGAACTACTCTAACCTAAGAGCTCCTTTTTTTTCTGCTTTGTTTTTTCTATTGCTTGCAGTTTGTTTTTCATTGTTGATTTAAGCAAGGGCCTGATTCTTCCAGATGTAAGGTGGTCCTACTTGCATAAATAGACCTATTAGCCTTGTCTACAATGTGAAAAAATCCATTGCTGACAACAGAGGGTTGAGCTGAAAAGGTTTAAAAGCAAGTGTAGACAAGGACAAACCATTCAACACCACCTCAGAAACAGTGGTCAAAACTGGGTTGGAACCCTAAGCCTAGAAATGAAGCAGGATTTAACTGAGGTTTCTGAAACCATTTAACTCAGTTTGTTCTTAATGTAACTGCAAGTGTATGTATGTTCAGTTGCATCCATTGATGACACCTGTTAGCAGCAGTTAATTTTCCTAATGTAGACAAAGCTTCTGACTTCAATGAGAATATGCATTTAAATGTTACTGTTATCAAGCTCTTAGACTGGAAAGATCAGGGACTTAGATGTGGGTGTGAAAAATTTACCCTAAGTCCCATTTTCAAAAGAGACTCAGGGACAGATTTTCACTATTATACCTGCTTAAAAAGAGTGTTTCCATCTTTAAAATAGCCATAATGCTCCCTGTGGTTTTGTGTTGAAAACTTTGAATTTCTGACTGCTTACTTTCTCCTTCAAACAAATCAAGTTCACCTGTGCTTTTCAGCATAATCTACAGTTCTCTTGAAGAGGGATTGTTGAAGACGTGTCTAGTTTTGTTAGGCATTTTTCATTTTTAAACTACAGCCATTATTATCTATTACTTTACAGGCCCAACTGTCTTGGAAGTGTTTAATACTCTACTGAAGCACTTGCGTCTCAGTGTTGATTTTGAATTAGGTGAGAGGCGTAGCTCAACTGGCAGTGCCAGTTTCAGCACAAGCTCCAAAGAAAGCGACGAGAGGATTGTCCAGAATGCCATTATTCAAACAATTGGTGAGTGAAGGGTTTTTTTCCGTTGAGCATGGACTCACTTAAAAACTGACATGGGTATGAAGTCTAAACACAGAGCACTCCTCTAAATAAAGGTCTTGCCATTCAACTCTTCTCTGTTTCCCCTCACTCCCACCAAGATAAGAATAAGGTGTCTGACTGCACCAGCTTTTAGAACACAGGCTGGGTTTGTGGGGTTGAGAGTTAGAGGGAACTGTCTTTTTACTTGTTAACTGGGCAAATAAGATTTCAGTCACTGACACACAATAAAAATGGAACTCTGTCACTTCGGCCGAGTCATATTGCTGATGAATTTTGTGCTTTGGAAAAATACAAATAAAACCTATGGGTTTATGCCTCTTACCTAAAACATAACCCTTGAAATATAAAGCTGCTGTCTTAAATTTCCATATATTAATGTATGCAGTGTATAATTCATATGTATACAATATCTATATGATATGAAAACCACCTGGGCATCACAGTATGCAGTAGTGAGATATATTTTAAGTGTTACTGCTAGGAAACTTGTTCAAAAATCTAACATAGCCGCAACAATGACACCTAATGGCCACTTGTATTTATAGAGTTACTGCAGTGTTTCCAAGAGACACAAAATCCTGTTTTAGCATCTACTTCTGTAAATAATTTCATTAGCATAACTTCTCTCTTTTCAGACATTCCTGTTATTTTAGTGCTATTTGTGTTGCTATGCATTTAATTAAAATTATTACTTTAAATTTCCCCCAATTATTTAGGTCTGATTCCCTCAAATTTTTGTTCAGCAAATTTGGCAAATTAATCTGTTTTTAAAATTTCTCTATACCTTACCCTTTACGACTGCAGTAACTATTTCTCAACTTCATTGTAAGACTCAACTTTTTTAAGAAAAACTTTGTCATGGTTTTAGAAATCTTTCTAACTCAAAAATCCAGATTTAACATTACTGTATTGTAGTTGATAGGTGAAGAAAGAGCATAGTCATATTTTTGTAAGAGTTCTCTTTTGAGCACCCCATTCATGTTTAATAATAGCATAGGTATGTGCAAAGGTAAGGAATTGAATTAAATTTTGTGCTAGCTTGGAAAATTTCCAGCTCCTGAATATTCTGTTACCTTGCAATTAATGTCAAATGCCCTGGTTTAAAGAGTATAATTACTCAGGAAAGATGAGACTAGAAAGTGTGTGTTGGGGGGAAGAGGGAGAATGAGGCAGTCGTGACAAGCTGGTGTATACTAGTGGGCAGAGTTGCACAGATGATGACTCCGTATCTATTACAGCCGTAATACAAACTAGAAAATTGCAAAAGGTACAGGAGACCCAGATAGAGTAGATATTTTATTTCTTACATTTATTAACCTCTGTAATATAAAGAGAGTAGCTTGAAATGTCATCTTTCTCTCCATTTTTATTTAGGGTTTTTTGGGAGCAATCTCCCAGATTACCAGCGGTCAGAGATTATGATGTTCGTTATGGGGAAAGTACCTGTTTTTGGGACATCCTCACATTCGCTGGATACAAGCCACCTTGGGTTTGTACTTTGTTGCTTTTTTTTTTTGAGCTTCTGAATATAAACTCTTTTCTGTTCTGAAGTCCTGCTAAAGTAGAACTTTTAAAAATTGGAATTTAAAATAACTCTCAGCTGCTAGGTTTCTATTAAATGTGCTAGAGAAACAAGCCACACACAATGACAGCAGTCTGAACCCAGAATCCAAAATGCAACTTTAATTACAGTTGATTGGAAAGCCCTACATGTGCACTACAAAATTTCTGCTCTTCAAACTCATATAGGTGTTTTTAAAAATCACTGCACTTAATGTTCCATTAATTCCTCACATTTTTAGGAAGTATGCTTTTAGTCATTGAATTGTCTTCTGGCTACAAATTTTTAGACAGCTGAATAATTCAGAAAGTTTTCTGCTTCATTCTATACTAATTGACTTTAAGATTAAGAGGAGTCATGGTGGAAAAATGATGCTGAACTCATTTAACTTCAGATGGCTTTTTCATTTTAAAATTGGGTGGTCAACATGGACACTTAAGGCCTGATTTTTCCGAAGTGCTGACCAGCCACAATTCCATTTGAATTCATTGGAAGCTGTGAGTACTCCGCACTTCTGACATTTAGGCTCAATATATACGAAGTTCAGCACTTCATATAAGGAAGCATTCAATATTGGGGAAACTTATGAAATTTAGGCCCCTCTCTATTTACAGCATCGTCCTGTGTTACTTTGTATGTTCTTTGTGTCTAATTGCTTACTCAGTTGTGTGCCTTCCTGTAACTATCCCTTTGAAATGGTTTTTTACCCATTTATTTGTACCTCTTTTATAGGTGTTCACCCTTTTTTGGTTAGTCTTGTATCTTGCTCTCCTAGCTTGTTGTTTTCCTCTTGGCACACAAGAAATTATTAAAAACCGTATTTGTGGTTGAATAATATTTTGAAGTTATCCAGAGAAATTGATTCAAGCTAACTTTTGAGTATCTCCCCCGATTCTAGGGATTTGGGAACTAGGCGGATTCAGATCATGTTGCTGAGATCTTTACTTATGGTAAGCGTTATTTGTTAAATATATTTTCTAAAAAATGCTGTAGATAACGTATTCTGTAAACGCACAGAATTTTGATTCTAGTCAAATTATGAAATGCAGTGTACATGTTCACACTACCAAGATATGTAAATATATAAAGTAAAATCACAGCTTCTCAAGCACAGGTGCTTTACAAGTAGCTCAGAAGTTAATCCTCCATTCCCACAGAATAGTTCAGAGGATGTCTGTCATAATTGGGACTGTAGGCCCAAAGAATGCCAGGGAGTTGAAGTGGCTAGTTCTGCCAGCAGTGCTAGCAACCTCAAAGTGGAACATTTTTTCCTCTCCACCACTAGGAGAGCTGAAATTGGTAGAACACTTTCTATACCTTTCTAAGGTGTAGCAGTGGGTGCTTATTAAGCGCCCAGTGCCTCAGGAAGCATTGTGGTTTAAAATGGCATAGCACTTCAGGCACCATCACTCAGTTAGTGCCTCACCTCCCAAGCCTTCTTCATCTTCTTAAAAGGCATAATTAGAAATACTGATTTTTCACAAATATTGTCTTTTAAACTTTAACATTTCTTCAGCCATTCAAATTACACTTAAATATGAAATTTACCAAATGACCCGGGGCTCTAGGAAACACCTTATGAGTTTCAGTTGGTTTTAATAACTCATCCTTGGTAGAAGGGGCGAAATGTTTGTAGAGTGATTTAGATTGTGGTTTTGATCATTGTTGCTATATAATAGGTAAGGCTCCGATTTTGTCACGGAATCCATGACTTCCAGAGACCTCCGTGACTTCGGCTGCGGTAGCTGGGAGCTGCAGGGTCCCCCCACTGCCCGCGGCGGCTAGGAGCTGCGGGGAACCCTGGCCTCCAGCAGCGGCGGGGAGTAACCCCGCAGCTCCGGGCTGCCAGCGGTGACAGGGGGTACCCCACAGCTGCACAATGACAGTGAGGACTGAAATTTCAGGGTCTGGCATCTGCCCAAAATGCCTTTTTAAAAAAAAATCTGCTGTTTGACTACACAGAGTGGGGGGGGGAAGTTTCACCACTTATTTAAAAAAACAAACAAAAAAATCACGACTTTTTTCAAAAACAGATGTAGTGCAGAAAGTGGTGTGGCTAGGAAATTATTCAGCCGTAAAATTGCTGTTATTGAGAGGAGTTGTATTTAAAATTTCCAGTAAAATTGGTCAAGTTTTAGGGTTTGAAAGTAGAATGTTTTGTATACACAACACTTGCAATATGAATGTGTTCTTTTTTTACCAATTTTCTAAGCAAAGAAAGGCTGTATTGCATCTGCACATGTGGTTGGGCGACCTAGATAAGTCTACAAGGGAGAGCTTGTTGCATATATGGTTCAGCTGTTAAGGGACTCATTGAATGAGGCAGGGCTCCTAACCTCATTCTTTAGATTGAATGGTTAAAAACCTTCTGTGCCTGGAGCATAGTTTTTTCACATATTTATTATCCAATCTCATATTGTGTCCAGGAGCTTGAAATATAACATGTAGATGCTGATTCTGGAACTGCTTTCACACAGGCTGAGGGATCTGCCCATATGGATACAATTGAACAATAAGCGCTTTGAGGTCATGAGCCAAAGTCAGTTAGTCAATGGGGAATCTTTCCATTGACTTTAGTGAATATTGGATCAGGCCCTAAAAGAGGCAGACCTTTGTACAAACTGTTGCCTCATTCAGTGCACATCTTTCATGGGATAGGGCATTCCTGTAATATCCAGCTTAAGAAATATTTTTCTTTTTACAGGGAGGGGGAGACCCAGAAATTCTAGTTTTTAAAAAAATCCTCTTAAGATAATATTAAGAATGCATGAATAAACAGTCAAGTCAGGAAATTCCAAGTTAATTGCATTTACAAATGAACCTATCCCCCCAAACACTTGAACAAAATCTGCTCACTCAGAAATGGAGTGGAAGTTGAGAATAATTCTTATCTACTCACATAATAATGGTTTACAATGGTATTACTTATGTTCTCTTGAATAATGAACAGGTGACTTCAGGATACAATGCAAAGACTATTGCTGCTGCTCTTCCTGCCCCATTTCTTGATCCTTTATTGTCTCCTTCACTCATGGAAGACTCTGAACTAAGACAGCTGGTCTTGGAAATATTGCATAATCTTATTGATCGACATGACAACAGAGCAAAACTTAGAGGAATAAGGTAGTGTTCTGGTTTTAATGGCTTCAGTTATAATAATTGTTTCTAGTTTAATATCCAAATGATAAAGTAATGCATATAGTGAATTATATTTTTTTCAAAGCACAAACATTTTAATGCACTATTTTCCCAAACTTTAAGTTGTTAGATATGGTTCCTTATACACATAGCTTCCAATGTCTTATTGTTTACTATGCATTTTAGTAAAACTGTAGTCCACCTTGCCATAACAAAACTGGAAAACAGTTATATTGATAGAACCATCTCTGTCCTTCAATGTCCAAGCCCTAATATATTATTTATTAAATGGAAGTTCTGAATAGTTGTTGGTTTCATTAAGTTTTTAATTGTATTTTTGCTTTGTAGAAGATAGTTGTTGCTCTGTAAAATGCAATCTTCTGTGTTTGAGTCATAATTACTTTTGTTTCCTTCCTTTAAAACTGAAAATTGAATGTGATTGTTAAACATGGGTATAATTAAAATGGAAATTGCAAGAATGTTTTGAATAGCTCATATATATTACGTAGCCTGTTTTTCCCCATACAACTTACCTTAACAAATTATAAATAGGTTATTTTATTAAAATGACATACTTGTTGCCTTTGTAGAATAATACCAGATGTTTCTGATCTAAAGATAAAACGAGACAAAATTTCAAGGCAAGACGTGAGCTTCATGAAGAAGGTAATAGCATGAAACAGTTATCTTTTCCTTTGAAGGAGCATGTAAAGTAGCTGAATCATTAACTCATCTTTCTTTGCTGCAACATTTTCACAATTTACATTTTCAATTCTTTTATACATTTATTTTAATTTATAGCACCTTAAAAGCAAGGTACTGAATCATTTCCGAGACAGTTCTGTGCACTGAAGAATTTACAGCTTAATCTCTCATTCAGTGGGAGTTACCCGCATGCATGAAGTTAGGTACTTTGCAGAATCAGGACTTCAATGACTTTAAGCCCTGATCCTGAAGTAAATTCCATGCACCCAGACTCATGTGGAGCACCAATAACTTCATTATGGTCCTCCAATACAGATCTAATCCTCAGTGATTTTTTTTTTTTTTAAAGACAGCATTTATAGCCCATAGAGCTAGCGTTAGCATTTTACTTTACTTAGCAGTAACACAAGGAACCTTCAGGCTGTATCCTGTAAGGCATTAGCTTAAGCAGTTAGCATAAGACTTTGAGGCCTATAAACTTCAGCGTAGATAAGTGTCCTAACAGTCACCCCAAGTTTGGGGAACTGGGCATAGTATGCTTAAGGGGGAGAGTTTGTACAAAATGATACCTGGTAACCAGAGGAACATTTAACTGTGGTACTAGGCTTGGATAGAAACATTGGCAGATGCTTAACCACAAGCTTGCCTTGGCAACTAATTAACGTATATGATAGTGTATTAATGATTTTAGCGTTATAATCAACCTATAGGATAAGGACACACCAATATTATTAGGGTGAGGAAGTTAGATAGGGACAAGGAAGGCTGGGCATTTGTATGAATATTCATGACAGTCCCATGGCCATATAAGAGGCCAGACCACCAAGTAGGGAGTGTTCTGACCCGTTTGGCATACATGGGGCAGAGCAGGACCTTTATCTCTTACTGCCAGGTCCCCAAGAAGCGGTGTTAGTATATGTCAGGAATGGTACAAGATATTATTTTAACTATGTATTTTTGCTAATTTTTTATGTGGTTTGGAGTCTTTGTGTCTTTAATCACTTTTATTAGCATAATTAGTAAAGCTTTGCTTTGCCCTCAGTGTGGATGTCATCGTTGTGCACATCTGGGTTCCCAACCAGATAGTAAACTTAATGAGCTTGATTCTGTTGTGCCCGATTCTGGGATAAGAACCCTAAAATCCCCAGCTCTTTCAATTGGTACTTAATTGGAAATCAATAATAATCAATAACCACTAAAGAATCGGGCAACACATTCAAAATTAATTTGTGAAAAGTGTTGTATTGTGGTATCTTTTCAGTTTCTCATATTATTAAAGGAGTTATGCTTGTTTGTTTAAATGACTTCTCCCTATCAAACTTGCTTCTCATTATGCCTTCACTGCAGGATCAGTCATAATTTCGTATCTGATGTCACAGGCTCTGGCTATGGATGTATAATACCTTTGTTGCCGTATCTAGTCTGAGAGGGTGAATGACATACGGAAAAAATAAAGGAAAAAAACTAAACATATTTAAAGAAATCTACATAATCATTAGATTTTTGATCACATGCATTATTGGACACAAGATCTTAAAATTCAGTTTTGTTTAGAAGTATTAGCTTCTGAAATAAGGATGCAGACCCTAGTGTAGAGAAATAATTTGCTGGTCAAACACTTATATGCAGTACTCCCATTGAGAAACATAAAACTAGTAATGTCTGCTAGCAACCTCCTAACAGAGATTTTTCTAACTAGCATTGCAGTTGTTGAGATCTAGATATTTGCTAGCTAGAAATATCAGGCTCAATTAGGCTGTAGCAGCTTTGAAATAGTAAGGTGCCATTTGTAGAACGAAGAACTGAATCCATCTGGATCCCTGTAACTTTAAACCTTGCTAACTGCTGTTGAGTGATGTTAATACCTCTGCTATGTATACATTTGTCTATCATCTGCAAGGGCATGTCAGGGCATTCAATAGAAAAGGGAAAAACCATGAGCAGACAGTTGCGTAAGGAATGGCCTTTCTAGATCATTCTTACTATATGTTCATTCTTTGCCTTGAAATAATCATTTCTTTAAAGAATAGATTTGGCTGATGCTTAGGACATTACTTGAAAGTGTAGATTGATAATTATAGACTCCTTAATTGTAATGTTACTGTGATTTGGTTTGCTGTACAAGAGGGTAAAAAGTGTCAGTGTTATTTTCAAAAGAGACTTAGCCAATTGGGAGCCTAATTCTCACTGAAAGTAAATGGGATTTAGGCTCCTTAAGTGCCTTACTCACTTTTGAAAATGGGGCTTGGGCTTGTTAGTCACTTTGGTAAAATTTTCAAACATGCCTAAGATCTATTTTTTCATTCCCTCCCCCCACTTCCATAAACTGATGTAGATGTTGGTTTTAGTGAATACTTCATGTCAGTGTAAAACCTGGCAGAGGATATATATGATTCCTGTATAATGTTCTGTATGACTTTTTTGTCTTTTAAACCAGTGGTTCTCAAAGCCGGTCCGCCACTTGTTCAGGGTAAGCATCCTGGTGGGCCGGGCCAGTTTATTTACCTGACGCGTCCGCAGGTTCGGCCGATCGCGACTCCCACTGGCCGCGGTTCACCGCTCCAGGCCAATGGGGGCTGCGGGAAGGGCAGCCAGCACATCCCTCGGCCCACGCCGCTTCCTGCAGCCCCCATTGGCCTGGAGCGGTGAACCGCGGCCAGTGGGAGTCGTGATTGGCCGAACCTGCGGACACGGCAGGTAAACAAACCGGCCTGGGCCGCCAGGGTACTTACCCTGAACAAGCGGCGGACCGGCTTTGAGAACCACTGTTTTAAACTATTTATATAAGACTCAAAATTGTGTTCACATAAAATGGCATATTACTCTAAAATTGCACTCAAGGTAGCAAGGTAGTGCTCTTTTGTTTAATAACCTGTTTTGGTGTATTTTAAAATAATCTTTATTGACAGTATTTTTTCAGTATTGACTGTCCCTTTTTCTGCACTTTTTATAGCATGGGCAGCAGTTGTACAGGCACATCTACTTAGGCTGTAAAGAAGAAGATAATGTCCAAAAGAATTTTGAGCTGCTGTACACGTCTCTAGCTCTTATAACAATCGAACTAGCCAATGAAGAAGTGGTTATTGACCTCATTCGGCTGGCCATTGCTTTGCAGGTAAGCTTCAGGAATGATACTTGGGTTAATCCATTAATGGACTTATTTATTTAATTAATTTATGGATATCTTTTATTGGACCAACTTCTGTTGGTGAAAGAAGCAAGTTTACACAGAACTCTTCTTCAGGTCTCGGAAAGGCAGCCAGTGTCTCAGGTAAATACAAGGTGGAGCAAACTGTTTAACATACGTCGTTAACACATGTTGCAAGAGACCATTCAAAGTGAAGTGACCAGTTAACATTTCTCCAGTCATGGGACGAAGGAAGATTAGTGGGTTACAGATTGTTCTAATGAGCCATAAATCCAGTCACTCTATAAGTAAATATAAATGAATATGAAAAGCTGAGTATTGAGATTATTTTAATTTGCATTGGGTTTTTGCATATATTCAGAAACAGGAGCCAAGATGTTCAAGATAGAAATCTAAATATGTGGCATGAGTACCAGCAGCTTCCTAGCATCTTTGAAAAACAGGCAACTAAATAAGTGCCTGTTTTTCAAACTGCTAAAATTTTGCGTGGGTCTCTTTTATTAAATTAAATAAAATAAGACTTTACTAAAAGGTTGCTAAATACAGTAGAAAAGCAGTGTGATCTGGAAGAATGAACAAGAGTGTGGATTCAACAGTTTAGATACCATGGTTATTGGCGCAGTAGAAGAATCTGGATAGAAATCAGTCCTGAGCTCTAATCCTGGCTTTTCCAGTGATTCATTATGTGGTCCTAAGCAAGTCACTTCACCTTTCTAACAGTTAGCTCCTTAATCTTCACAGTGATTATTATGTATGTTTTTGATATGTTTTGCCTGTGACTCATGCCAATATTTTGTCTGTTTTTAAGTCATCTTGTAAAATTTGTTTTAAAATAACCTTCTAATTCCCTGGAAATGCTATATTTAGGGTGGGGAGGGAGTCTTATGGGGAAGACACAGGACTAGGTGTCAAAAGACATGTCCCATGGTGGAGAAGGAAGTAACCCCCAGAGATTTCAGTAGAGTTATTCATATCCTATGGGGATAGAGTTGAATTGGGTCCCTGTGCTTTGCTCTGCCATACTCATGGTGTAACTGTGGGTCCTTACATTCCCTTACATTAGTTGTTCCCAGCTGTAGAATGAGGCTATTGCTTACCTACTTCAAGAATGTGAAGAGGCTATGTATTTGAACTGCACTGAGCCCTTCAGATGAAGTCATTAAGCACTAGTTAGTAGTGTACACAGAGTGATTATGAAACATTCATGTTCATTCGGACTAACTTGTAAACGTTGGGCCACTTGATGTTTTCCTTTTTATTATAGGATATCATCATTATTAATGAGGATAACTTGCCAATGTTCAATCGCTGCGGTGTCATGGCATTGGTTGCAGCCTACCTCAACTTTCTAAGTCAGATGATTGCAGTCCCTGCCTTTTGCCAGCATGTCAGCAAGGTAGTATAAAATCAGTCACTTCAATAGCATGGCATTTCACAAACTACAACAATTAAATAACTAAATAAATAAATGTTTCTTTTCTTTTTAGTGTCTTTTGGCATAGCAACATGCTGACTGATTTAAAGCTCAGAAAGACTACATGTAATAGGTAGAATATGTAGAGATACTGCCATTGTCACTGTTGCCTTATGCGCACACAACATAATTTGTGTTGTCGTCATATCTGTTGCAATGGCCTCTCTAGTAGATACGTTAGCGGCTGCATTTCTTACTGCAGAATCTTGGGAATATGAAGCTGGAACCACTGTAAGGTGATATTCAACTCTCTCTCCAGAGACTCTGTATAATAAGAACTAATACCCATAATATATCTGTGCCTGTTAATACTACTGTAGTGCAATCTCTGTCAGCTCAATGGGAATTACATACTAGCTCCAAGCTTGTACGGTTAATTTTCACCTCTTCTAGTGTAGCGTTTTAATTTTGTTCACCTACATTACGTTTCATTATAATTGAAATTTTATATTTATTGGCCAGATCCTCGGCTAGCGTAAAACATATAGCTCTGTTGCCTTTAGAGAAGCCATGCTGATTTCTGACAACTGAGAATCTAGCAGACAGTCTAAAATAAAACCGTTCTTTTAGATATTGGTTAGTTTAGGGGAAAACATATCTTAACCTATTCAAACCAGTAATGTACCATTGTGGTGGCATCTGCTATACAATATATGCAATATTCTGTATGGACAAATAAAAATTAAATATGTAAGTATAAGAATGAAAAGTTTAATTCATTCACTCCGAGACAGCTTGCATTACTTTGCTTGTTTTTCAGGTCATTGAAACACGAACTGTTGAAGCACCCTATTTTCTACCAGAAAACATCTTCAAAGACAAGCGCATGTATGTAGATACAAATATTTATAATAGAATGAATGATGATGCATTTTAATGTTCCCTCTAGTGAGATTAAACAATTGTACATCATAGGAGTAGCTTGAATCTATGGAAAAGTGGCACAGAAAGGGTAATGATACACAAACTGGGGAAGAAAAAATGTAGTATTAAAGATAAGATGGGAAATCTCAGTTTTAATTTCTTAATAAAAGGTTAGTCAGAAGTAAGTTGCATGTTGATGCTAAACCGTCTGAGTAATATAAGGTATTTTATTAGTACTCTGTGTAACTTTAAATGTAGTGTGGTATCCTAAACCCTTCAGAAGTGAAGAGCCACACTTAATAATAGAATCGTTATCTACATCATCTTTCAAATCCATAAAAGATGATTGGAAAAGTTGTTCTTGAATGTAAACTGATCTGATTATTAGAACATCTATTTCATTTGCAATTACTTTGAACTGGTGGATCAAAATGAGGCCAAGAATATTTTAGCAGCTCCTAGACTAGGTGAAGGATAAACAGTGATGATTAAGTTGCAAATCGTCTAGGTGTGTTGTGTTAACGGGACTCATAATAGTTTTTTAAATGTACAGAGAAATTAGAGCTTTGAATATATCAATTAACAACCAATTTAACTATGTTCCTTTCTATGAAACATCAACACGACTCCTCTTTAGGTGGTAGTTGACTTCCAATATGATCTTGATTTATTTTATTACATGTATAGATCTGTATCAATAAATATTAAATGCTAAATATATATTATTTGACAGTCTTCCCAAATCTTTGGAGAAGCATGAAAAAAACTTGTTTTTCCTGACAAACAAGATTGCAGAATCATTAGGCGGCAGTGGATACAGTGTGGAAAGATTGTCGGTGCCATATGTGCCCCAGGTAACAGGTAAGCAGTAATCAATGACATAAATGTTACAACAGCAGCTATTAAGAATTCATTTTGTCTCATGTCTGATCTGTCACCCACATCCAACCTATATGTAACTTGAATACTTTGCATCAAAATTTCATGGCAGTATAATTTCTGTTTTCCTCAGAAGTAAAAGTTTGTTCATGGTGTCCTGTACAGTATACAGCACAGGATTTTAACTCCTAGAATTATTTTCTGCATCCTTTAATTAAAAAATAAAAAAAGAAAAGCCACAAAGAGGAGTTTTGACCTCATTTCGATTTCATTAAAAAGTCTGTATTTGTTAAGTGAGATGGTAGTGCTTATTACTAAATTTAACTTAATACTGTAATACAAAGTAATTCCAGAAAGTTGAAGCTCTGTATACACATTAATTGTTCACCAGATAAGTAATTTAAAGCCAGTCCTGGTTCATAAACATTCACTTTTTGACTGAATGGTGGCCTGAGTTACTGGGTTCAGTCAAATTCTCAGTAGACCATGGGTTCACATAACAAAAATACTAGGAAAGGCAGTGTTGCCTAATGGATAGAGCAGTGGACTGGAACTCAGGAGACCTGGGTTCTGTTCCACTGGCCTGCTTGATGAACTTGGGCAAATCGCATTGCCTCTTTTCCTAAGTTTCTGTATATGTAAAAAGGGAACAATGAGGCTTATGTCCTTTAGAGATCTACTGATGAACAAGATATTATATGCATTATTATGTTTGTCTCTAATTAGCACATTTGTTGCCTCTTAATACTGGGGAGATGGATTGTGCTGTTGCCGATAAAATATCTCCATGTAGAAGCATTGTGGGAGCTTTTACGCTCCACAATGTGCAAATAACTTTTCTGGTTGTGTTGCTAGAGAAAGCGATCTCATGTTTTTGATGTTTTGTTTTCCTATTTTTTTGCTTAGCAACGAGTTTTTCTTTCTAGAGTTCCTGCTTCAAGGCCTGATATGTATATTTTTTGGATTTATACTATTGTAACTATGGGTCATTTGGGGGGGATTAATCCCCCCAAGATGTCTCAAGCTGAATTATAAACTTTTGCAGCCTAAATTTAATGTTCCTAGCTGGGAGATATGGATCAGGTACAGAACGGGACACAGTACACACTGAACAGTAAGTTACAGAGGCCACAAAAGCTCTAATCTTAAGAGAGTTTTGCTGTGGGACTGGTTCTCATGACAGTGCATTGGTTCTGCCATGAGTACTGTGGCAACGTAAATTCATTTAAGGTACCTTAACGGGGTACTAGGCACAATGAGTCATAAAATGGTGCTCTCAGCACTTTCTGCTGCTAAGGTTGCATCTCACAGTAAGAGGGGGAAATTCCATAACTATGTGGAAACATTTCAGTACCTTATACATGTGTTAATAACCTTTTCACTATTTGCAGATGCCAGATAGAATAATATAACCCTTTACGTTAAAATTGAAGGAAAATGCCAGGTGTCAGCAAAAGAAGCATTTGTTGTTTTCTTTTAAGAAGCCAAGCCTTTAATTTTTTTGGGGGTGGGAATGAAGAGAGGTTGCCTGATCTGAATTTCATGCAAAAAGTCCAAGTTCTTATATGAAACAAATCAATTTCTGTTTAGTAATCTTCACACAAATTGACCTAAAGGGTGCTGATGTTTGGGTTACAGATGAACTCATTAAATAAAGCAGATCTTTTTTTTCTTAGATACCATATAAAAAGTTAAAATGATTGTTACTAAATTAGGTTTTGATTCAGAAAGCACACCTATTTAGAAAGGGCATTTAAGCACATGAAGTCAGTAGGATTAAAGCGCGTGCTTAACTGCTTTCCTTAATAGGGATGGATTTAAGCATTTTACTACATTGGGGCCTGAATTAGTTGTTCATATGTACTTGAACGTGAGTTAGTTTCACTTAATGTTTTTGTGTTTTAATTTGATTATGCTACTTTTTGCAGAAAAGTAATCTGAACTGGTTACAAGTGCACTATTATTAGCTGGTTGAAAAATGGAATTCCCCATACTCTGAGATATTCTGAGATCTTGAAATTTTCATTTCATCTCAGATCGGGATGAAAAGTTGAAATCTTGGAATTTTTTGTGAAATCAAATATTCTGAAATATTTCATTTTGATCTTCTCAAGACATTTCAACTTTTAATTACTGGTATATTACAGTTTATAATAGAATAAAATGATTAAAGTTAAAACAAAATGTTTTGCTAATTTCCCATCAAAATTTCAATAGTTTGTACATCCCTGTTAGCAGTGCTAGTGCCAATGTGGGATCCAGGCCTGTATTTTCACCTGAAATATTATTTTGGGTTTTGCTTGCCTATTTAATTTAATGTATGTGTAACAAAGGGATCCTTACACAGTATTTTTGTCACATATTAGTATGTTGCTTTTGTCTAAGCCAGATGGGCTTGTTAGTATAATGGGAACAGATAAGAGTAGCTAAAGTGTTACTGGGCATGGTGGAAGTATAATATATGAGCGCACACTTGAAGACTGCCTCAATTCCTTATCTCAAGGCAAGGTCAAGCAACAATTCGGGAGGAGCAAGAGGGGATTGAAGGGGAAGGTAGAACACTAAAAGACCAGGGAAATACCTGCCCTGGACCGTAGCACAACCTCATGCCTTACCCCTCCCATGGGGTACAAAAGGGGTGGGATGAAGACCCCAGACTCTCAACCCCCCAAAATGGAACATGGCTATAAGTTGCAAGGTGTGGGACTGTGGGCGTGCATTTCAGTTATAATTAGGGCCCTTCCAAATTCATTGCCATGAAAAATGTGTCATGGACCATGAAACCTGGTCTCCCCTCCGTGAAATCTGGTCTTTTGTGTGCTTTTACCCTGTACTATACAGATTTCACTGGATAGCGGTGGCTGCTGGCTCGGAGCCCAGCTGTGAAGGTAGAGCCGCCATCGGCAACAGCAGCGCAGAGGTAAGGATGGCATGGTATGGTATTGCCACCCTTACTTCTGCGCTGCTGTAGGCAGCAACGCTGCCTTCAGAGCTGGGCAGACGGAGAGCAGCAGCTGTTGGCAGTTGCGCAGCTCCGCAGGCAGCAGCACAGAAGTAAGGGTGGCAATACCATACCATGCCATCCTTACTTCTGCGCTGCTGTTGCTGATGGCGGCTCTACCTTCACAGCTGGGCTCCGAGCCAGCAGCCACCGCTATCCAGCTGTCCAGCTCTGAAGGCAGCGCTGCTACCTGCAGCAGGACACAAGTAAGGGTTGCAGTACCGCAACCCTCCATACAATAGCCTTGCAACTCCCCCCCAAAAAACTCCTTTTTGGGTCAGGACCCCTACAGTTACAAACACTGTGAAATTTCAGATTTATATAGCTGAAATCATGAAATTTACGATTTTAAAAATCCTATGACCTTGTAATTGACCAAAATGGACCATGAATTTGGCAGGGCCCTAGGTATAATTATGCCTACTGAGGAGGGGGAAGATGGAATACTGGGAAACAAGGCTCTGTGGCGTCAGAGTTATGGGACAACACCTGCTTGCTGAAAACTAACCCCAATAAACATCGCATTGCCGGCGCTTCGAACTTCTGGTCTTCTGCTTTCTGTCTTCATGACAAGAACCGGGGAGAGGGTAAAGGAAAAGCCTTCTAACAGTCCCTGTGAAACATTTTGATTTAGTTAAATAATTTCCAACAGAAAAATCTTCAATGAGAGTTTTTGAGCTACTTAAATATTTAAATGCTTAGGGAAATATATGGGATAACAACTACTAACTTTTTTCTTCACTGCATAACTTTTCTTAATTGTCTTACAAAGCCCTGTTCTGATGGTAAAAATAAGAAGCTGGAGGAAGTGAATGTTTTGAACCTTAAGAGTTGTTGTGAGACAAGACCAAAGCTCTTCTATCTGTCTGTTTTCATGCCAATCACTAATATTGGGGAGAGTTTTATTAACATATTTCTTATGTGAGCAATAGAATTTCTGTGATTTGCTGTCTTTTTTTTTCTGTATCTTTTGCTTCATAGCTGATACTTAAACATAATTTTTTATTCTCATTCTTGTTTTTTTAATTTAGCTCTATTTCCATCAGGCAAAAAGCCTCATAAATGCAGACGCAAATCAAAAGGTAAATCCGAACCATAGGTCTGCCTGTCCTCCTCATAGCTATTGTGTGTGGATAGGACATACCCCACCAAACAAACTGCTTTTAGGAGACCTTTAGATAAATAGGCGAGAAATTCTGTTGTGCATAGTTTTAATTTACCTCTTGCTGTAGCTAGTTTTGTAGCTGTAATTTTATCAGGTTTCCCTTTGTTTTTATTCTTGAACTTGGAATTCTAAAATGTGGTAGTTTCCTTCTGTTTTTCTTTTCCCAAAGATTTAATAGCTTCATAACTATCAATTTTGTAATTGTTCCAAGTGCTGCCTCGTAATCATATCTCATGTACTCCATGGCAAGCTTCAGCAAGATGCCAGGCCTCTGCCGCACTACAGTGCAGCAAAAATGTAAATAGTGTGGCAAATTTAAAAACTGATGTTCTTTATTGAAAAATACAGTCAAATCACTAGCTCTTGTTAATTTTCATATTAAATTCAACTTATTTTCACCTTGTTCCACATTTTTGTTATGCCACAGGTTTTTGTACTGAAAATGCATAATTGCGACATAGAAGTAATTAGAAGCAGATGGAGGTTATTGCATCTGAATCCAGGGCAGTTGGGACTTTTGGTACACAGGGAAGTTTCAGAGGATGTTTGGGTTTATAAGGCAAGCACATTAGCTCAGTGTTTCTGGTAAAAAGATCATCTGTAAAATAGCATCGTCCTTTAAAGTGTCCTAGTTAGGTTACAGTATGTGCATCCCATTGAGATGAATGAGGTAATTCACATCTGACACAGCTAATGTTTAAGACTGTTTGCAGAGTCAGGAACATGACAACTTATTGGTTTGCAATTGGGTGTATCTGCACTGCACAGTTAATCCGGGTGCTTGGCACCTGGATTACCCTAGCCCTGCTGCAAGCA